AAGTAGTAGTTTCATATCTTACACATGTTTTTTTATTTCATAAATTTGGTGGGTTGTAGCTTCCTGTTTCTTCCTTATAGTGTCAGAGCACATTAAATTATTAGAGAATAAGTGCTAATTTTAAAGCATTGTACGTGGAATTATTGTTTTGATGTGAAAAGCTACATCTTTACTTGAGATAAGTGCTAAAGAGTGGTGTGTTGAAATCATTAAAGTGATCAGATATATAGGTATTGTTTCCCAAATACATGTCAAAATTGATTATTAAGACTGTTTTTAGACATTGTAGAAAATTGATAGGGTAGCTGAAAATAAGTGTCATAATAATCTTTCTCCTCGTTGTTGGCCAAAGGAAAAAATTCTAGAAAATTTTAAGCTTATAAAGTTTGGGGAAATTTTTCTTCCCTCTCTTTAAAAGTTCTCTTTTTTTGTGCCCACAGATTCCACTCTGACTGGTGTTCACCATCAAACTGTGATGAGATCCATGACCGGGTAAAAGATGTCTTGAAATCACATCAGGCTCATGCAAGACACATATGTGTTAGTTTCTAGGATTTTCTTTATTAAAGACTTTCTAATAGGCTTCCCAAACTGGCCAAGGCGCTTACAGATTATGATTCTTAGTTATGGGGAATGAAATACATTCTCTGAAGGAATTTCTGGGGTTCCTACAGGTCACGTAACTAACCTCCTGCTTGCCCAGAATCATACAAAATGATTTTTAATTATTATTTTACATATTTATTAGATTTATTTATTTAGTGTGTGTGTATACATGTGCTGGGACACATGTGGAGATCAGAGAACAACTTTGGTGGAGTCACATGGTCAATTCTCTCCTTGCACCATGCGTTCTGATTTTGCCTGGATCAGAATCAGGTCATCAGGTCTGGAAACAAGTGCCTTTTATGGCTGAACCATCTTGGAGTCCTAGGGTTTTTTTTTTTATGTTGTTGTTTTCATGTTTCATTTACTAAACTAGATATTTAACATTGATCATCTGAACTATCAGCATTCTTGGTCATAATTATCTTACAAAAAGTGACCGAACAATTTCTCCATTAATAGTCTCAAGGTTTTCATAATGTGGAAAGCCTTATTTTGTGATTCAGTGAGGAGATCCCATTTGGTGCAGGTACATTTGATTCTGTAGGTAGATTAGGGAGGGGGAAGGTGTGGGGTACCTCTTCTAAATCAGGGGTTGAGCTGATTGACATGCCAATAAATATACAAAAGAAAGAAGAGCAGGTCAGGTTTAGCTTCATTTTAGGAAGTTAGCAGTACACAAGGTTTTCCAAGGTAAAGTAAACAAATGCGTTTATATTTGTGGTAACTTGGAGTCATAACTGTATACTATTTTTGTATTAGGCTTTTAAATTTCATTCATTAATTCTCATAGTTTGTATTTTTCAAGTCATATGAGTTTTCTTTTACAAAAATAAAAATCGAGCTAATTTTAGTGAAGATTATAATTTTGTTTAGATTAATTTAAATTTATATTTTTTCTTTTTACTACTTCAGTTATTCAATTTAAAAAACGATTCTGTTATTAATTTGTCTATTACTCTAACATGCATACAGAACAAATTATTTCTTTGATGACTTTTCTAATAGTATTGATATAAAAACATTGAACTTTTTGTATGTTTATTACCATTACGTTATTTCTATATCTCTAATAATTTAATATATCCTGAGATGTAAAAACATCTAAAATGTATGTATTTCTACATTTCTAAAACACAAGAAGTTATTGTTATTCATAAAGTAACAGTTTTGTGCGTTAGGTTTGTATTTGTCCTATTCCTCCTCATATATGAGCAGTGAGAAATGGAGACTTTAAATTGGAAACCATAGTATTTGCAGTAGTATCAAATCAAAGTGTGTAGGTTTAATCCTACCAGAATGTATGCCAGTTGTGTGTGGTGGGAACACAGATGAAAGAAGAGTAGAAAAAGGAGCAATGGGCCACACTGACAGACAGACAGAGTGGAGGATTACATTACATTACATTCTATGATGTCACAGTTTAACTTCTTTTTGGTGCTGAGAATGAAGACCAGAGTCTTGTGCATATTAGGCAGATACTCTGCCAGGGGGGCTATGTTCCCAGACCATTTCATGTTATCTTTTCATTTTTTATATGTAAGAGCATTTTACCTGAATATATGCATTTATGCCATGTATGTGCCTGGTGCCCACAGAGAGCAGAAAAGGGCACTGAATGCCCTGGAACTGGAGTTCCCAGTGGTTGTCAGCCACTGTTTGGGTGCTAGAAACTGAACTAAGCCCTCTGTGAGAGGAACAAGTGCTTTTAGCTGTTGAGCCATTTCCCCAGCTAATTTTTTATATTGTCTTAATCGAAACCCCAGTACACTTTAAAAAAACAAATATTGACAAGCAGATTATAAAAGACACATTGAAAGACAAAGGAACTTCTAAAACCAAAACAAGGACCAATGAAATGGCTCAGCAAGTAAGGTGCTTGCTGGTAAAACTGACAACCTGAGTTCAATCCCTGGGAACTCACATAGTTGAAGGGGACAACCTACCTGAGTGTTGCTGTTTGTCTTCCACACATATGCTATGGCACACGTGTACATGAGCACACATGTACACACATATGCATAGGCATACATGCATGCAACAAATAATATAATGAAAAGAAATTTAAATTAGTTTTAAGTTATATTTTTTATTTTAATTAGAAAGAAAATTATTTACCATGTAAATCCCAGGTCCCTTTCCCTCCCCTCCTCCCCTGCCCCCCCAACTAACATCCTACCTGTCCCATACCCTTTCTGCTCCCCAGGGAGAGTGAAACCTTCCATAGGAGGTCTTTCAAAGTCTGTCTTATTCTTTGGGATAGGGCCTAGGCCAGGGAGCATCCCTTATGTATACAGTGAAATGTGATCATATCTACCTCTTATTTTCCCCTCTGATTCCTCCCATATATCTCCTTCCAAAAATAACCCTTAAAGTCCACTTTTATATGTACTCTGCACTGGAGAATGGGAAACCTAATAGTGGTCACATCTTCAAAGAATAACAATTCTCTCTTCCCCAACAACTATCTACTGCCAATAGAAATCTGTTCTGAAAAGAACAAAGGTGAAAGACTCCCTATTTAGCCTTAGCAATTTTCTGTGTCGAAGACAGTGTAGCATTCACTAACACCACAGAAATATCAAATGAGTAGAACAGAGATGCCACAGATTGACCTACAGAAATGTTATTACTGATATGTGAAAAAGGGGCAAAGCCAATTCAACAGAGGCCCAGGAAGCTCTTGTCCCTGTTCCCCAGTGTTGAGATTGTAAGAGTACCACCACTCCTGGTGTTGCTTACATTGGTGCTGGGGTTGAACTTGGGTCCTCTGGCTATCAAGGCAGGCTGTTATCCCACCCAACACTTTGTAATTTTGCCTTGTGAACAAATGGTTCTGTATGAAAATAAAATAACCCAGCAGCAACAAAAAAAGTAAATTCCCTTGCCCCATAATTCATAACAGATCAAGAGACCTTATGTATTACAATACCTTCAAAGGAAAGCATAGAGAATATATGGACAATTTGAATTTGACAGGGTTTTTTTTTTGACATGACACAACCCATAACAGACAAAACAAAATTAAATTGGACCTCATAAAGTTTATAAATGTCTGCTTCATGAAAGGCACTGGTAGAAGAATGGAAAGCCTTAGTCTGGGTGAAAATATTTTTAACAGGGCCTGGATTTGATCCCCAGACCCATGTGGGGTGGAGAGGAAGAGTAGGGACTAGCCAAAGTACATATCACAAGGGATCATTATGTTCTCTTTGGTGTCAGGTGATGTGAAGGGTTCTCTGCTATGTTGTCACCTTAGTCTAATTTGAGAAAATGTATCTGTACTAAAAGACTTTTTAAAACATGCAAGCACTGGGTTGGAGCAATGGCTAGTCTCACAACCCAAAATATAAACTACTTGAGCAGTATCCTTACAAATTACCAAGTAATTGACCATAGATAAGAAGAGACTAAGGGGACATGATGACTAAATGCTATGTAAGAACAGAAGGGCATTGTTGAGAAGACTGAAAAATCCAAATATGGCTGACAGCTAACGTAATGGTGCTATGCTGTTGAGAGCATCTTAGTTTTGCTGAGTGTACCCTGGCTATGTCAGATGCTCACATTGAGAGACCCTCAATGAAAGGGGGCACTTCTGGATGGTTCTGTGTCTTCTTTGCAACTTTTCTGTAAATTTAAATTGTATTCCAAATGTTAAAAGGTCAAATGTTATTGAGAGTTTCATTTCCGCCCCCCTCAGTTTTAACAGGAGTTGGTGTGATTCCAGGCTTCCTTCCTCTCATAGGAAGGAAATTCTTTTGCTTGCTCAGCATGGAGCTCACTTCCTTCTACTTCGGCAGGATTTCTACTTTAGTGCATCCCTCACTCTACAGTTTCCAGCGTTCATAATGGAGGGGTCAGTGAGCTTAGTGTTGCACCTATGGAGTCTCACTGGAGCTTGCTTCTTAGGTCTTTAATTTTGTCTGTCTCCCAGAGGGGATTACCAAACCCCTGTGACTTCTCTGTCCTCCAGCAGTGGAGCTGTTGAACAAAGCAGGGTCTTGGCATTTGTTCTGTGCTCAAAAGCCACAGATGCTCTCAGGAGAAAGCCAGCTGTGGACCATTAGCTCACCTCTTTGGGGTTATGTCCTCTGGAGACTCTTGTCACCACAATTACAGTTGTTTGAGCAGCTTTCTGGTGCTTTTAAATAGCAGACGAGTTAATGTAGTCAGTCTACTCCATCCTATTCAGAAGTAGGAGACTCACTACACTTTTTAAAATTAGTTTGTCCCGGGCTTGGCTTACTGGGGTGTAAAATAATGCTGCTCACGTTGGCTTATACTAGGCACTAATTTCAATACAGTCCAGAAGCAAACAGAGCACAAACTTATAATTAGCCAACATTTCCTGCCTGCATTCATTCATACAGCATCCCCTCCCAGAGTATCTGTGTGCTCTGCACAGCACTGTACAAAGCTCAGAGGCTCTTCTCACGAAATCAAATTTTCTCCCCGTAAGGAGCACACAGTGTTTTAATAAACCACTGAATGAATATGAAACAGTAAAAAAGAACAGTGTGCTACAGCATGCAATTAAGTATATGAATAAAAAGCACAAACATGGATTATTGTTCTCCCAGAGAAAAACTGAAATTGACATATAGGAATAGTAATGTTTGTTAGAGGCTAGGCCCCTGTGCCCATATTACTCTATTTTTTCCTTTCAATAATCTTGAAAATTAAGTATTAGGACATATGCAGTATTTCAAAGACAAGGAAGCTGACTCTCAGGAAGGTTAAGTGACATGTAATGGTTATACAACCACTCTAGATGCTTTTAACCAGGACTTGAATTCAGACGGCATTCTTGATCTTAACCACTGCATTCTATGGTGATAAATACTAAGTATAGCCATATACACATAAGCCCAGAGATGTGGCCAGGATTAAGCATGTAAAAATATATTCCCTTTAGAGTCATAGGTGTATGT